CCTTCACCTGAAGTACAATAAAAAAAGTAAAATAAAAAACAAACAAACAAAAAAAACAAAAACCTGCCATTTAAAAAGTGACAGGGTCAATGGAAGACTGCGGCGTACCTGGGAATGACGTTTTGGTCAGAACTGAACGGCCCAAGGAGATCGCCAGAATGCCATAAGACATCAAGCCCTGAAATATTTTCCTTTTTAAACTTAAAAAAAATTTATTTTATTTTCTTAAGGAAAAGCTTATGACCTCCTTTAGGTTTCTGAAAATAGAATACAGTTCAAGTTTTATCTTTATTTTCTCTCTCTTAATAGAGGCTATTACAGCAGATTACTGATTTTCTCCTGTTACCTGGAGCTCCATGAGGCTCCAAATGCTCTGCCTTAATGAGATGGTTCATTTCCTGGGAACCCCTAAACAGTTTAAGAGCACCCATTTTCTAAATGACTGGAAAGGTATCTTTAACCAGTTACTTCTAAATAGCGTTATGGCACTGTGGGTCAAGAATTGATGGATGTTTTCTTTAGGGGGTTGTAAGTTATACTGTTTAAGAAGTGTAGCAGTAAAATAATGCTTCTGTTCAAGGTCCACGTTTTCCCTTTGGCAGCTACAGAGAGCAAATTGGGTTCTCTTAAAAGCTTATTGGGCTTGGACTTTGTAAAGTGTTGATGTCAGTCTAAGCAGAGGACAAATGGACATTAACACCAGAGGTGAGTGGTCCTGTGTAAAAAGCGTTAGGATAGGATAGGTGAAAAAGAGGTTTCTGGGTGTTTTCCTGTTGGCTCGACTGTTGCCATTGAAGAGTATGATTTGGTGGCAGTAGGTGATCCCTCTGTGACTCTTCCTGTATCCCATTTTTGGAGATTCTGAGCCATCATACTTTATTTCAAATCTTATGGATTCCTTTATTTGCCTTCTAACACATTTTTCATTTCTGTTTCTGGCTGTCTCTTTGCTTTCAGCAGATTAGAAAACTATCTCAAGCTAAGTATTTAATGGTCAGCGTTACTAAAATGAAGGAGCCCCAGTTGTGTAAAGGTTAAGTGCTCAGCTGCTAATGGAAAGGTTGGCGGTTCAAATCCACCAACTGCTCTGCCGGTGAAAGATGTGGCAGTCTGCTTCCATAAAGATTTACAGCCTTGGAGACCCTGTGGGCACTTCTGCTCTGTCCTATAGGGTTGCTGTGAGTCAGAATCAACTCAGTGGCAGTAGGCTTGGATTATTACCAAAATGAGTTCATATCCTTCCATCTTACCAAATGTCCTTGAGCATTTTTCAAAATAAAACCTCTTAATGATTACCTATTTTCACCAACTCAATTTTTCCCTTCTGTCATTTACTAAGATATAGAAATGTCTTAGTATACTTAGAGTTTTTTTTTTTTTAAATCTTGTATTTTTTTTTTTTTTAACTTGAAGAATCTGTAAGCTTTTTTCAATAACCCTGGAAGTCTGCTTCGCACACTGTGATGCAGAAGGCTTTGTCTTCCCAACATATCATCATCCTGAGCTTCCTTGTTCTCAGCAGATATTGCCTCCCCCAGTAGAATGTTCACATTCAGAGGCATAGGAAGAGGGCAGACACCCTGGTATGTTTCCTCACAGCCACAGATGGTAAGGGTAGAGAAGAACTGTTCAACAACAACAATATTCTTAAAACATTTAAAAATATTCGTAACACCTCCTGCTGGGATTATACTAACTGCATCTTACATATTGTCTCTGTGTCTACTTTAGGGACAGAATGCCTGATTGGAAATGTCTGAAGTATATAGTGTTCTCTTCTTAATAGCCATTCATTTTGTTAGGGAATTCTTTTTTTAGACTTATCTGAGTTTATTGTTGATTTTAGACATAAAATAGTAGGCAGAGGAATATAATGAACCCTCATGAACATATCACCTAGCCCCAACAACTATCACCCCATGGCCAATTTTGTCCTGTCCACTTCTCCCACTCCGATATTATTTGAAGCAAGTCTTAAGCATTCCATATTTTTATATGAATTTTGGTATGGCTGTCTCAGTGATACGGACTCTCTCTGTCCTTTTCTCTTGTAGAAACATAACACAAGACCATTTGTTTTACCTAAAAAGTAGACCACAGTTCCTTCATGTTATATATCCGATCTTTGTTATAATTTCAGTTATCTCAAATGTCATAAATGGTTTTTCTTTGTTATATGTATGTATTTTTTAAATCAGGGTCCAGATAAGTTTTATACATTGGTATTAGTTGACATGTCTTTGAAGTCTCTTGAATTTATAGTTCCCTTTTCATCTCTTTTTCCCCTTGCAGTTTATGCGTTGAAGAAACTGTGTTGCTTGTCTCAACAGTTTCCCACGGTCTTCCGGACTTTGCTGTTTTCATTCCCATGGTGTCTTTAATTGCTTTTTCCTCTGTATTTCCTGTAAATAGGTAACTGGATCTAGACACTTGATCAAAGATGGGCTCAGTTGTTTGGGCAGGTCTGTGTCATGGCTGGTACAGTTGTCTTCCTTCAGAAGGCCCAGATGTATGGCCGTCTCGCTCTTTGTGGTGCTGTAGGTAGAGGCTTACATTGATGAGTTGAGTAGAGGTTGCAAAATGGGATATTCTATCATTACGGTTTTATTTTTAACAGCTTTATTGAGATATAGCTCAAATACCATACAGTTCACCCATTTCAAGTGTAAAGTTCAACAGTTTATAGCTATCAGCCCTCTACCTCTCCACTCCCCACCTCTTCCCCAGCCTTCAAAAACCATTCATCTATTTCCCGTCTCTGTAAGAGTTCCCTATTCTGGGCTTTCATGTGAGGGAAATCCTATAATATGTGGTCTTTTGTGACTGATTTCCTTCACTTAGCATAATGTTTTCAACATTCATTCATGTTGTAGCGTGTATCAGTATTTCATTTTTTGATGGCTGACTGTTTCATTGTATGGACATACCACAGCTTATCCACTTGTCAGTTGATGGACATTTGGGTTGTTTCTACCTTTTGGCTGTTGTGAATAATCTTCTATAAACATATATCTACAAGTTTTTGTGTGGACAGTTTTCATTTCTCTTGGGTATATACCCAAGGGTAGAATTGCTGGGTCATATGGTAAGTCTGTGTTTAATTGTTTGAAGAATTCCAGACTGTTTTCCAAAGCCGCTACACCATTTTACATTTCCACCAGTAGTGTATGAGATCTCCAGTTTTGCCACATCCTTGCCAACACTTGTTTATTCTGACTTTTCTGATTATAGCCATCCTTGTGGGTTTGAAGTGGTATCTCATTGTGGTTTTGACTTGCGTTTCTCTGATGACTAATGCCGTAGAGCATCTTTTCATCTGTTTATCGGCCGTTTGTGTATCTTCCTTGGAGAAATGTCTATTCAGACCCTGTGCCCATTTCTAAACTGAGTTGTCTTTTTATTATTGAGTCTAATAGTTCTTTGGAGCCCTAGTGGCGCAGTGGTTAGGAGCTCAGCTGCTAACCAAAAGGTTGGCCGTTCAAGTCCGCCAGCTGCTCCTTGGAAACCCTGTGGGGCAGTTCTTCTCTGTCCTGTAGTGTCACTAGGAGTTGGAATCGCCTCGATGACCACAGGTAAATAGTTTTGTATATATTTTGGATACAAGTGATGTGTAAATATTTTTCCAGTTCTATAGGTTGTCTTTTCACTTTCTTATGCTTTTATTTATTAGCTTAGGTATGTTTTTAAAGAGAAACTTCCCCACACCTGTTATTACCCAGATGAGACAGTTTATATAGGAAAGGCAAGATAAAGGCTTGATTCTTTGCCTTTCTTTATAAGTTTTCAAAATAAGGAATTTTGTAGCATCCTTTGATAGTAATGTTTATTTTAAAAGCATCATTATGAAGTCATGAATTCAAACACTCGATTTTTATTCTTACTGATACTCAAATTGTCCCACCTTTTGATACAGGTACTTTTGATTCCCAAACACTTTTGATAGGAGTCTAGTTGTTTCGATTACTTCTTTGCTCTTTGGTACAAGAAGGTGTTCCATACTCATCTTGTCCATTTTCTGCCCCAGACCTGGAATCAGCTCTTTCTCCACGGAGCCGTGGCTCCCTTTTAGAGGTGCTGTGTGAGTGTTGGGCTGCTCATTGCCACCCAGCTGGTCACTGTTTACAGGCCTTTTAGTGGGTGTACCTGAGAATGTGCATATGAATTCTTTGTTTTGTTTTTAAGACAAAATATATCATGAGTTCAGGCTGATCGTTCAGATTCAGGACTGGAGGGTTTTTACTTAACCTCTTCTGTCTTACATCTCTGTCTCCTTTTCCCACACTGCAGTTCCCAGTCTCAGAGTCACTGAGGATGGTAGTAATTATGTTATATTCTGTTCTCATTGCTTTATCCCACGTCACCCAGAATAGTATCACCGACATCACCGCCAACAATGTAATTACTGAAAACAGTTAAAAGTTTATGGTTCAGTTTTGTTTAGTTGTTATTGTTGCCGCTAGGCTATGAATAGTCAAACTCTTGTTTTTTAAAGTTACTTTAAATAGTTTATCTGTGCGTCTGCTATCAACTGGGTGTATAGTTAGGTTCATTGTGTTTTATTTTCAATATTTAGGAATTGCTTATGAAATTTAATTTTCTTATAATCATGTAAAATATTTACCTAGCTCTTAAGTCCAAATTACAAAGAAAATATATTCAAAGAATTATGTGTTCTCTGCTTCTTCTACCATATTTCCTCCTCCTCTTAAGGTCTTTTTTTAATTTATGTAAATTAATGATTTATCCTTCTTTCTCTCTCTGTATATACTTATTTGTATCCCCCATGTCTTAGAAAATGGTAGCATACTGTAAATACTGTCCTGCACCTTGATTTCATCACCTTGTGGTTGTAGTAGACGGAGATCTTCCTGATTCTTTTTCACCACCGTATAGTTATTCCATTGTGCGGCTGTACTGTTGTTTACTTCACTCCTTTCCTATTAGCCGACAGTTGAGTTGTTACAGTCTTTTGCTGTTACAGACAGTCCTGTTTTTGTATTTGTATCAGAGTATCTGTGGGAAGGATTCATGTAAGTTGCATTGCTGTGTCAAAGGGTAAATATTGTGCTACATATTGGCATCTTCCCTTGCATTGTGTTTATACCATTCTACATTCCCACCAAAATGTACGAGTGGGCCCGTTTCCTTCTGGACAGTACTTTTCTCCAGAGTATGTTGTCAGGTTTTTGGACTTTTACTAGTGTTTTGGTGAGAAATATAGTTTTAATTTGAATTTCTCTTAGTAGGAGCATCTTTTCATGTGTTCAGAGTTCTTTTTTTTTGTGAACTGTCATTTTTTTAGCCTATTTTTTGTGTAGTTAGTGGGTTTTTTCCCTAATTTTAGAGGCTCTTTATGGAGAGATGGAATCCCTTTGTCTCTGATATAAGTTGCAGATTTTTTTTGCGGCTCGTCATTTTACTTTGCTTCTGGCATCTTTTGCCATTCCAAAGTTTTTATTTTTACATAGTCTAATTGACCCCTCCTTTCTCCTTATTACTTGTAGATTTTGAGTCATTTCTTAGTAAAGTCTTTCCCACTCCCTACTTACAGAAATTCACTTATCTTTTCTTCTAGTATTTTTTTTTTTCCCCTTCCTCCCTTTTTTAAATTTACATTTGCATCTCTGGTTCATTTGGAATTTGTCCTAGTGTATGGTATGCGGTATGATTCCAATTTTATCTTTTCTCATATGGATATACAGTTATTTCAACATTACTAACTTAAAACTATCTTTTCTCATTGATTTGAGATGCTTTTTTTTTTTTTTGGTTTACTGATGTATGAAATTGAGTCTATTTCTGGGTTTTCTATTCTACTTCATTGTTGTTTGTATATCCATGTGCCAGTACCACATTGTTCTAGTTATAGAATCCGTATGTTTTGAGACCCACATCCAAGTAAATATCTAAAAACCACTAGTTGCCTCCTTTCTTCTTTTCTGTAGTCTCTTCTCCTCGCTATTTTTTCTTCCAAATAAACTTAATAATCGATTGGTCTTGCTCTGATGAGACAAAAACCTAATGGTGTTTTTATTTAGACTACATTAAACGTATAGATTAATTTGGGGAGAACTGACATATGATATTGGGTCTTTTTATCCAAGAAGATGTTGTGTTTTTCCATTTGTTCAAACCTGTTTCTCTGTTTTCCAGCAGTGTTTTATATAATTTTCCTCATACAGGTTTTGGATGTATTTTGTAGGTTTTCATGTATGTGTTTTATTTTGATGTCGTGAATGGGGTTTATTGTATCTCTAGCTTTTGTTTGTCTGTGAAAGTTATTAAATTTTGTGTTAATTTTATAACTTGTTACTTCACTGAGTCATCTCATTGTAGTAATTTTGCCATTGATTATTTTGGATTTTTCAGATATATAATTATGTGAGATGAAAATTTCTAATTTTCTAAATCCTTCCATAGAAAACAGAATTTTTATTGTGGATCAGCAATCTGGGCATGTTTCTAGAGTTCATATTTAGCTTCTGTGTGGTACTGTGTGTGTGTGTGTGTGTGTACATATATATATATTCAAATTTTTCATGTTCCATGACCTATATAAACTGTATTATTTGTTTATAACAGGAGTTGGAAAGGCAGAAACATATGTGCAGTGTGCTGCAGCATAAGATGGATGAACTTAAAGAAGGCCTTCGGCAAAGAGATGAGCTTATTGAGGTATGTGCATGAACTGTGGAAATACGTAATTTTGAAAAAAATGTATTGGATGAGAAAAGAGTGTGTGTGTTGGGAGAGAAAGGGAGTAAAATGCCACAAAGAGTTCCCTTGTCTCTTCATATTTGCTGTACTCTAAAATCTCAAACATGAAACTCAAAAGAAGGATTTAAAAAAATCGATGCTATGAACCCTATAACCATTCCCCTTTTAATAGCAGAAGTTTTTGTAAGTGCCTTTTCTTTCTAGATACATTCTTCCCTAAAGAGAAATTCAGGAAGTAGGCAAAATGTAAATCATTGTGCAGCATCCTTTGGAACGTAGCAAATGCCAATTTTGGGGACATGATTCTTGGGAAATAAGTACGATCTTCACTCAGGTAGCTATATTTCTAAGGTGGATAAATGAAAAGAAGAAAATGTCGAGAACTTTATAAACCAGAGAGCAGAGGTGGCCCGTGCTGAGGCTCAGGCTTCTGCTGGGTGAAGAACTCTGAGTACCGCAGCATTGGCAACACCCTAGGAACAGAAGGGAGCATGGTCCCCCAAAACGTGACTGAAAGCCTTTGTCATCCTTTTGTGCCTACTGCCTTGCATGCCTCTCTGAGATGGTCATTTGTTCTGCATATGGAAGTAGGATTTGGGGAGATCCTGCCCACTCTCTGGGTGTGGTTGATGACATCTGATGTCAGCTTAGTGTTGGTGGCGTGTCAGTGGTATCCGGACGGCCAGCTCTTCGAGATCCCTGGGGGGAGACTCTTGCTCTCCAGAACAGCGACACCCCTGGCCTCTCCAACTCCCTTGCCTCGCTTTCCCTTTTTCCTTTTCCTCTCCCCCAACGGACCCACCTCACCTAAAGTCTCTTCCTGTAAATTACTTAAAAAAAAAAAAAAAAAAAAATTAATAGTGGAAAAGAAATTGCTTTTTTTTCTACTTGTGGATTTGTATTATTTTTTGTCATTCTTAAGAATAATTGAATTGATCCTAGCCTGACGAAAGTAGGTAGAATGTGACCACTAAATGCAGACACAGACAGCCCTTCAGGTGTGTCAGATTCCAAGTGGACTTAGTTGTAGTTGTCTTTCCATAGACGGCAAGAAGCGTATTCTCCAAATTCTGTGTCTGCTGCTATTTAAAAAAAGTCCTTTTGTCTTTTTGTGTTAAATATGCCAACTACTTTTTATTTCTTTTTTTCTAATTAAAATATACACTTCCCTTTTTATGATTTAAAAACAATAATAAAACTACTTTAGGGCAGCTTCTCAAATTTAGTAGCTTAAGTTAGGATTGGTTAAGGGTCCTTGTTTTTAATTTGATAGTTGCATTTAAGGGAAATTGTAGTGTTTGGTTTCTGTAATTACATATTTGCCACTGTGGTTTTTCTAAAAGTCTGGAGTGCTGGGCATACAAACTTTAAAAACTAGTTGCAGCTCTTTTTATGTTTCGAATTAGCATCTTTCAAACGTTGGTATTCACGTCTGTGGATAACTGAGAGACCTTGAATACGACACAGAATGTGGTTTAGTCTTTGCACTAGGAATCACTCACACTGGAGGGTAGGAGCTGGTAACTTACCAATAACGCACAAGAAGAAAATCAAGTATTGTTGTCGTCGTTGTGTGCCGTGAGTCGTTGTGTGCCGTGAGTCCGTTCTGACTCAGAGCGGCCCCAGGGGACCGCGTAGAACTGCCGCAAGCTATTTCCCAGGCTGTGATCTTTACAGGAGCAGGTTCCGGGTCCTTTGCATCATTGCCTAATCAGAAGAGTTCTTTCGGAATTGATCAATGCCAAATTGGGGATTTTCTGCAAACTGATAAGACTGTTCCTTTCTAATTCATGATGTTCTTGCTATCGTAGATTCCACTAATAGAAATTTGAAATGATGAAGCAAAGATATGTTTGTCTTGAGTATTTTTTTAGTTCTGCTTTAAAAAATCAAATTCAAAACTCTTGCTGTTCTCTGTGATGAGGGGTCATTTGTTCACAAGCAAACCTGAATTTCCTTCTTTAGAAATGTAAGTTGTTCCATATTTGGGGAAAAAAGGCAGTTATCAAAGAAGAGCACCCACAAGGAGCTGTGTACACACAGACCCCCTCGCTAGCTTGCTGCCACCTAGCTGTGGTCGGAACAGGCACTCCCAGTTCCCCTGCTTGCTTTTGTAGGGAAAAGCCAGACACAGTCATGTCACCAACTTTCCAGAAGTCATCTTTTCTTTTAGTAAGCAACGTTTGCCTTTTCTGTTCATCACACACGTTGCCCTTTTGTTAAACTTCTTTATCTGCTTTATTTTCGTTCTGTTTTCCTCCCTCTAGCCTCCTCCCTTTTTTCTTTCTGCTCTTTTATTACTTCTCTTCCCCTCTTCCTCTGCAGGAGAATCAGCGCATGCAGCAGAAAATAGACACCGTGACAAAAGAGGTGTTTGAGCTCCAAGAGACACTTCTTTGGAAAGATAAAAAAATTGGGGTATGAGATAAAATTGGGCTTTGGTGAGGAGTAGACTAATATAATTTAACTTAGAGAGTCCTAAAAATCTGCCATTTGGGGTATTACTGAGTATTTTGACAGTAGGAAGTACGAAGAAGCAGGAGACAGAAGGAGACTGCGGTCGGGCTGGGACAGACCAGGCACACCTGATCGTGTGCCTGGAAACAGTCCTCCCTGCCAGCCGGCTCTGGGCTTGTGAAGCCTCCAAGTAGGAACTTTGTAAACAGGAAGTCACTGTTTATTCCCTTAGGAGTCTTATCTGGAAGCAGCCAGGAGCGTTTAATTCAGACTCAGCGGGTAGCTTGATATCCTTACAGGACAAAAAGTTAGATAAGAAACCAGAGATTTTCGATGGGATAGGGAGTTGGAGCGGGGGAGACATTTTTAGCATCCCGTAAATCCTTGGTAAATAAAATGGGAAGAGATTAAAATCAGTTCATTACAGAAGTGGTTAGGAATGTAAGATCTGCCAGGGCTGCCAACTGTGACGCCATCTCTGATTATAACCCCAGAACGCCCCAAACAGGAGCCCAGATAAGGAAGAAGTCTTCAGGGCCTTTTTGCTAAACCCTGCAGGTAAAACCCTGCAAGTACACTGGAGGCTGAGAAAGTTCCCACCGGGTCACCGTGTGGCCCTTGACCAGCAGCCCCAGCTCGTGGCGTGGCCTCTGTTCTGGCGGAGGGGATACAGCCGTGGCTGCCCAGGGTAGGTGGGGTAGGAAGAAGCTGGCAGAGATCTCCAGGAGCACCTGTGATAGACGCGCCTCGCTGCGAAGCCCTCTGGACCCCAGCCTCCGTTGGTGGGGGTGCCCTGAAGCCCAGCCAGTACCCGGTGCTTTCACGTTTCCAAGGACCTCATCCTCTCAGAAATAAACACAGGGGGAAAAATTACTTCTTAAGAGTTTGGTAGACCAAAATTTTAAAGACATACAAAGAAACCTTTAGAGTTTCTGATGCCTGAATACTGAGTCTGTAAAATTCATCCAAAGACAGAAGAACAGCCTCTGGCCTTCGGGGAGGTAAATGAGCAGCTGCTGGCGGTTTTGACAGTGGGGTTGTGAACTACGGATTTTCTCGATATTTTTACACTGAGAATTTAAAATGACGTATGAAAAAATAGAGTGGCACAAAATAGGCAATTTGTAAAATTTAGTTAAATCTGGTCACTAGAATGTGGCTTCTTTAGGGCTTGATATAATTTCTTTAGCACAGATCTCCTGATCTGTGATTTCTGATTTATATGATTGTCTTAGTATTTTAAACTGATTATCTTTGACCAGCCATAGAAAAACTCTAAACTTCTCAGTCCAGTAAAATAGCTATTCAAAACAAAAGTTTTTTTTCCTACCAAAGAAGTATACAAATGGTCAAGATACCAATTATTTGTCTTTATAATTTTCTTAGCATTTATTGAATGAATAAGTGGGTGTCTTCATTCTGTGTGATACACAATAATGTGTTCCCTTGACATTTTTAAGTTAAATCTTTTGAGAAAATTGAAGGTTTCCAGTTGTAAGAAATAATAGAGATATCATGTGTACTGCTGATGCAGTTTCCCCTCATGTAATATCTTGCAAAACTGCAGTACAGCATTGCAACCAGGACATTGCCACTGACACGGTCTAAATACTGAACAGTTCTGGCACCACAAGGCACCCCTCCTGTTCCCTGTTAGCGTCCACGTCTGCTACCTCCCATCTCCTGCCCCAAACCCCTGGCCACCACTAATCCGTTCTCCATTTCTATAATTTTGTCATTTTAAGAATGTTACATAAATGGAATCGTACTGATTATAACCTTTTGGGATTGACTTTTTTTCTGGCCAGCGTAATTCCCTCGAGATCCTTCCAGGTTGTTGAGTGTATCAATAACTTGTTCCTCCCTTGACTTTTAAAATACACATTTTCAGTATGGTCAGTGACTACCTAATGCATCATTTGTCTCTAGCTTTATTTTCAAGATTTAAATTTAACAGCAAGATTTAAATTTAGTAACATGATTAAATTTGGGAACATGATCATTATCCCAGGCTGAAGTTTAGTTTTCTTTAGTTCTTCCTTCACTGAGCCTAGTGTTCTTGCCCCCATTGCAGTTCTTAGCACCCGGGGGCCGTAGGTAGAATAGGTGGGTATATGAAGGACTTGCCTATGTGTAGCCCATTCTGACTAAAGATAGTTGTGCCCCTGTGCAGCTAATGGGAGCCCTGGTGGCGAAGTGGCTAAGTGTTTGGCTGCTAACCCAGAGGTCGGCAGTTTGAACCCACCAGCGTCCCCGAGGGAGAAAGATGTGGCGGTCTGCTTCCGTAAAGATGACAGCTTTGGAAACCCTAGGAGGCAGTTCTACTCTGTCCTACAGGGCTGCTGTGGGTCGGAATCGACTCAGTGGCATCGGGTATGTGGTGTGACAGCGGTTATACGGGGAATGAACCTGTTGTCAGAAAGGTCACTTGCAGTTAGCTTAGGGATAAAGAAGAATAAGATCTCCACAAGCATGTCCTTTATCCTAAAAAAGATCTTTACTGTAGGAGCTATTGTTGTGTGCAGACACAAGGGCAGTGGTTATCTGGTCAGGCAAGACAGGATTTCAGATCCAGCATGAACACATTTGGTCCAATTATAAAGTGTTTCAGTGGTCTTCAAACTTTGCGGTGATATGGGTGAATTTACAGGGTGTATTTTATATTTCCGTCTATAATTATGGGAAGATAAAATTAAAAAGTCCGAAAGTAAAAATAAACCAAGTACTGTAAGTGTGGAAGAGGAGCAGGTGACATGCACTAGCATTTGCTGGAACCCCTAAGAGTCCTTTCTTCTCCGCGTGGTGTTTATGTAGAGCATGTTGTGAGTGACCACTTACCCAGTTACATGTGCCGATGCATGACATAACTGTGCACGCAGATGCCGGCAGCCACACGTGTAACCCAGCAGAGAGTAAAATGACTGTCAGCAGTTGGGGAAGCATTGCCTGCGCCTCGTTGTCCTAATGCTTCATTTGTTATTAACCTAATGGAGTGTTAACACTAGCTTGAGGGGTTAAGTACCTTAAGTATGTAGAGACTTAAATGCTTAATTTATAGGTAGACTAAAGACACATATATAGTGTGCATGTAAACTGTCAGAAGGAAGTTAGATGTTGACACTGCAGTCTGGAAAATTAAGGAGTAGGACTTGCCCAAGGAGCCCTGGTGGCGCAGTGGTTAAGCGCTTGGCTGCTAACTGAAAGGTCAGCAGTTCAAACCCACCATCGACTCCATGGGAGAAAAGACCTGGCAATTTTGCTCCCGTAAAGATTACAGCCTAGGAAACCCTATGGGGCAGTCCTCTAGGGTCGCTGTGAGTTGGAATCAACTCAGTGGCACCGAGCGACAGCAGCAACAGGACTTGCTGTGTGGACCGCGTCTCCAGCACCGTCTGAGGTAGCAGTAGGGAGCGTACTTGTAGCCTTCCTTGGGCCGTGATATAGAAAGGGCATACAGGTGCTTTGGAAGCCAAAGAACTGGATTCAGTTCTTGGCTTTGCCACTTACTATGAGTTTGAGCAAAAAATATAACCTCTCTGAGCCTCAATTTTCTGATCTGTAAAATGGGGATAAAACAAGTACATTGTAAGGTGTGTAAGGGAGAAATTATATGTATATTATATAATAACATATAAAAGAGAAATTATGTATAGTTAATGTTAATATTATATATAGTATATACTTTATGTGAATATATGTAAAACCAGTGCCTGTTGGAGCTGCATAGATGGTAGGTTGCCATCACCTTTTATTTATTTATTTCCAGTGCATTTACAGAATAGGATTATAATGATTTAAAAATTGCCTGACTGTTCATCCATCAGTAACTAAGCCGTCGGCCCCCATCTCAGCCCAGTAGACTGACAGGAAGGTTGCGGGGTGTAGCTGAGCTGCTTGGATCAGTGAGCGCTGGCGGCTGCGTTAGCCGTAGGAACAGCCGTGTAGGGACTTGAGCAGGTGCTGTCTCACTGCATTTGTGGCGGGTTTGTGTGTCACTGACGACACAGTGTGCTCCTCTTCTGCACTGTCCTCAGCTCTGGCAGTTGTGTGAGTCGGGGCATAGCCGTGAAACCATAAATGAAAACAGGTCAGTTAAGATTCCACAGCCCATGTTCTGCCACCTTCGTAGGTGGACTCTGTCTGTTTGGGCGGTGTTTTATTTTTGTTTTGCACATTTTGAAGGTGTATTGGAAAACAAAATGACTTCATTTGTGTTTAATTAAATTAACAAACAGGTACTTAAGACCCCTGTGGAGATGAGCTATTTTGAATTAAGTGGTGTTGGAGGAATGTTTTACCACCCTACTCAGGGACCTTTCACTACAGCTGATGTTCAGTTAAACTACCTTATGGATACTAGCTACTTTTTCTTCCAGAACCACTTTTTAAGTCAAGTGTATTCTTTTTTTTAATTTTATTGTTCTTTAGGTGAAAGTTTAGAGTGCAAATTAGTTTCTCATTCAAAAATTGATCCACAAGTGGGTCTGTGACACTGTTTGCACTGCCCGCAGTGGGTCAGCTCTCTCGTCCTTCCCGTCTTCAGGTGTACCGTGCAATAAACTGTTTCAGTTAAATAGGAAATGTGTTTTTCTGTTCACCAAATGAAAATGTACTGAGGCCAGAAAGGAAAACTTTAATATTGCTGCTATCTTTGTCTTCCTTTTCCTGTTTTTTTTTTTTTTTTTAATAGACTAGAAAAGATTTTTGTCTCCTGCCTGATGTAATAAGCATGCTTTGCTGAATTTATGCACAAGAACCAGTTTCTATTACAAATATCTCCTGGAGACGTATATCCATATAACTGTGTGTCTGTCCGCATCTAACTGGCTTGTTTCTGAGCGCCTAACTGCTTCCTTGCTTTTTTTATTTCATTATATTTTTGTTTATTTGAATTAGGTACACCTCTGCTACCTTTCACTTGCTCTTTTTCTGTGCCATTCTCCCCCTTGCTCCCCTGCCTAAAAGCAGGCGCTAGAGAAACAGAAAGAATACATTGCTTGCCTCAGGAATGAGCGCGATACACTCCGAGAGGAGTTGGCTGACCTGAAGGAGACAGTGAAGACAGGAGAGGTATGTCAGCCTCAGACCAGTGGCGGAGCAAGTCCTTCACTGCCTTACTCCCCCTGCCTTCCTTTCATCCGGGTATCTTTCCTAGCCTGCGAACAAACAGCAGTATTCATTCCCTAATCCGGATTTGGCAGGTTTAAGTCATTTCCTCTGCAGAGTAACTAATTCCATGTAACCAGTTCCAGCCAGGTCTTACCTGTGGCAAACATGTATTGTCGCCCAGCCGCCCGAGACAGCGTGCTGTTTCCACGTGGGCCGTTTTGTGATGGAGGCGTTTTTTTCCCCACAGAAACACGGCTTAGTTATAATCCCCAACGGCACTCCCAACGGAGATGTCAGTCAGGAACCAGTGGTGGGAGCCATCACCGTCGTGTCTCAGGAAGCCGCCCAGGTCTTGGAGTCAGCAGGAGAGGGGCCACTAGGTAAGATGCTGATCACCATGTTGACTCGGATTGGGCTTCCGGCGTACTCATTTCCTCGCTGGGAAGACAAAACCAACACAGAGACTCTCTGAACCGTGTCTCCATCTTTTATAGGAAGAAAGAAATCGGGGCACGTTTTGTTCAGACATTTCTGACCTTGGGAAACCAACATCTGGGTCATTGTAAGGGAGTACGTGCAGCTGTGAGGTCCCTGGGTAGAAGCACGAGGGTGCGTGCATGTTCTTTTTCACTGAAATATAAACCTCTGTGAAGAGATAGTCCAGCACCCTCATTGGAAGGCAGTGGGCTTACAGGAGCCTTCCCAAGTTTAAGTTTCTTCTTCCCGGAGCATCTGGTTTTATGTTCTGCTACTTACTCCAGGGTTCTGGAGTCTTCTGCCACCACATTTATTAAGGCAGGAAACAGATGACCAAGAAGATAGGTATCTGAGGGGTGTGATTTCCAGAATAAGGCTTCTGAGCTCTTAAGTCTAAGCCTTTTAAGTTTAACCTTCTGAGATTCGCTAAGAAATCCCACGGAGGCCCATCCATTGCCTCCACTAAGAATCCTACAAGAGAGGAAGAAAAACGGCATAGATGCGGCATCACCAGCCCACTTCCGTTTATTAAAGAAGGACCTTCTTTCTTTTTTCATCTTGCTTTCATATGGGTGTAGGTTTCCTAGAGGAGCGGGATATAATGTAAGAGTGGGCAAGCGGAAAAACTTAAGCGTCGGTACTAACCTTCACTAGTGCGCAGAAATCCAGAACGTATGTGAAGAGAACTCTGATAAAGCAGAGGATGCTGGGCGAGTGAGAGAGGACCCAGAGGGCGGAATGAGGCTATCGGCAGCTCAGGGCGTTTCCTTCACCCCTTTGGAAGGTGCTGAGGAAACCAGAACTTATATTTGCCCCTGACTCTGGTTGGTTGCGGGGCATGGCTGGACAGCGGTGAGCTGTTTCTTTCACTGATCCAGGGGTGTATCTTCTCAGCTCAAGGTGCCCATTCTAAGGCAGGCTTGGGAAAAGCAGCCCTCCCCGCAGGCCACGAGTGAGCCCCAGTGACCTGGCTACCAAGCCTCAGATTGGCCTTGGCTGTCCACAGCTTCCTCCCCCACGAGATCTGTGGGACTCTGCGTCTTCCAGCACTGTGTCTCTCTCTTTTCCTTGTTCCATCTTTCCCTCCCCGTCTCTTTCACACTCTTACCCTCATCTTCCTTCCCGTATTGTGTTCTCTCCTGCCGAGGCTTTAGCCTGTGGGAGCGCCCTTGGAGTTTGAGTTGTCTGTTTATTGGTGAAAGCTTTCACTTTTTTTAAATCAAGGAAATGATCTCCTTGGTGCTTCAGTTTACTCTGAGTGGAAAATCACTGCTTTTGAGGAGTAAATGTTACATTTGGTACCCAGATAACTATCAGTTGTATGGAAATAGGTGTTGAATAATTACCTTTCCAGAACACTTTTAAAGCTTTTATTTCTTTTGATATTCAGAGCTGTAATTTAATTTAACAGTTAAGGCTTTACTATTAATTATGAGTTTGAAGAATTATTTTTAACTGTATATAGTACTGTATCATTTCAAATTTAGTTTACAGTCTTCTTAATTTCTTTCAGATGTAAGGCTACGAAAACTTGCTGGAGAAAAGGAAGAACTGCTGTCACAGGTACAGGCGTTCTTTCCCTTGGCAGGTAACACTCATTGCAACTGGTGACACGTTAGCAAATTACAATGTCCGTTAGAGAGGAAGGCGGTTATGTCAAACATCAGTAGTTCAATGAGATTAAATTTATCTGACTCAATAGAAGGATAAAAAGATTTCACAATTTGCCTCTTTGTTGTTTTCTATTTTAAACAATTTTAGAGGACACATAGCTGAAGGGGTCACATAGTTTCCCTGCCCTGCCTCCTTCACCCCCACCCCTGACCATTTCAGTTCTCTCAGCTGCTTCGATGGAGTGTGCTGTCCTCGTATGGCTCCATAGAATGTGCTCTTGTTGCTGCTTCTGGATCTTTCTGTTTCTGACATTCTCTGTTGACATCCCTCTGTGGAAGCTGAGGGTTTAGCTGTCTTTCATCTCCTGTCCCTGCCACACCCTTGCAGATTCCTATCCTCACCTCCTCCTAATAAAGAAGGGGTGTAATTCCAGCCTATGTACAGTATTAGGACTCTGAACACTAGTCATAGTGGAGCCATGTAGTATTCTAGGATTGCCTTTCATTTTCTTCATAACTTTGTTTCCCCTAAAGTTAATATTGTGCTTTTTGTTTTCCTTTGCTTGGTTTTCTGTGTGTTCATCACTGATTCAGCCCAGACTCTCCAGCAGTGGTTTAAACCCACTCTTAGTGTTCTCAGAGGCATCAGGTGTTTTTTCAGCTCCATCTTTTTGAGCCTTGGAGCATCCTGATTTGCCGCACTCTGCACTGATGCTCAGTCCTCAGTACAGATATGATCACCATTCGTCATCATCTGGGGCTTCCTCTGCCTGTGGTTTGGATGGACCACCCTTTTTCCAGTGTCTCATGCCTTCTTCTTTTACTTATTTTCTCATTTTGGTGCACCCTCAGTAACTTCCTGAGAAAAGGTGTATGTGGACTGTAAATGTTTCATGACTTTGCAGGCCTGAAAATGTCTTTTAGTTTACCCTCTTACTTGATTGATAGTTTGGCTGGGTATAGAATTCTGGGTTGGCAGTCATTTTCCTTCAGATTTTTTAAAAGAAAATGCTTCATTGTCCTCTGGCTTCCAGTATGGCTGTTGAGAATTCCGAGGACATTTTGATTTCTCATTGTTTGTATTTTTTTTCCCTTGTATCATACCTTCTTTCTCCAACGTGTTCTAAGATTTCCTGATGATGTGGTTTGAAGTTTCTGTGCGTGGTGCTGGGCACTAGTGGGCCCTGTTAATTCGAGGAACTCCTGTTCTTCAGTTCTGGGAAAATTTCTTGAATTATTTTGTTATTGATTTTCTCCCTTCTTATTTTCTGTGTTATCTCTTTCTGGAATTCCTATTCAGTCATTCAACAAATGGTTTAGAGTCCACTGCTAAATACTTGGGATAGGTCAGTAAATAAGTCAGGGGGAAGAAATCGCTGCCCTAATAGACTTTACATTCTAGTGATAGGAGACCAGATAATGAACAGTAAATGTCATTATAACCAAATTACATGGTATATTAAGAGGTTTTTGTGAATGCCTTTAATGTATGTGTTTCTCCAGCCACATTTAGCTGAATAGGTACAGGCATGGAATGGGTATTGAGTTAGATATTACAGGCAGGTGTAAAGGGGCAAGGGAGGTGAGGCTGTGTGCTAGTGAGGAGTGATTATGATGGACCTTTACCTTGAATGGTAAAGAGAATGACATCCAGGAAAACATCGAAGCACAGTGGGAAGGGGGATCAGTGGGTTGGAGATGCCATTGGCATTGAAGGATGGTTGTAGTCGGGGTCCAGAGAGAATGAGATGAAAAGATCAGGAACAGTGGTTAGAGAGAGGATATAACGGAATGAATTAGGAAGGGGTCGCAGTTATCTAGTGAGGTATAGTCTGTGAGTATGGGAGCAAGTGGCTGAGGGCAAGAACAGCAAGAGCCGAGGAAGGGAGGTGTTCCGGTAACTGAGAGATCCTCAACTTAGATGTGTATTGAAATTGCCAAGAGTTAGGGAGTGTGGGTCAGGAGCTAAAATGGTGAAGAAATGAGTAGGATGATGGCAATGATGAGGGATAGTAAATGTATACAATTTGAAGAAATGAAATTAAGAACTAGGATTCTGAGGGAGAATGGAGAATAGTTTGGCAACAGCAATGAGAAGCGAGAGGGTACCTGTTCCATTTTCAGGCTCTGTGGTAGGAGGGCCAAGAAGGAAAAAAACCAGCCCACGACTTGGGAGGCTGCAGAGGAAGCCGGCTCTCAAGGGAGGGAAGTTTCCATTAGAGCAGGAAGGTAATGGGAATGCTCCAAGAAGAGGTTAGAATGGAAGGGTTTTGCTGATGATAGACTGATAATTCTAGAGGGTCCAGTAGAAGTTTCAAGCATGAGGGAAGGAGAGGAGATGAATACAGAATAGTTATTGTACAGAACTTTGTGGGGTGTACAAGAGTTCAGGAGAGGAAAGATGGACATACGCAAGAATGATGGGGCTAATGAGATTAGTCCTGGTTCACTCAGGGCAGATAGTGATGGCAACCCCGTGGTGGGGGTGGGGGTGTCTGTTTCCCTCAGGCAGAGAGTGATGGCGACCCTGTGGGGGGGGTGGGGGTGTCTGTTTCCCTCAGGCAGAGAGTGATGGCGACCCTGTGGTGGGGGTGGGGGTGTCTGTGTTTCACTCAGGCAGAGAGTGATGGCGACCCTGTGGTGGGGGTGGGGGTCGTCTGTGTTTCACTCAGGCAGATAGTGATGGCGACCTTGTGGTGGGGGTGGGGGGGGCGTCTGTGTTTCACTTAGGCAGGTAATGATGGCGACCCCATGGGGTGGGGTGGGGGCTATCTGGGAACCATGGAGTAAGTCCCAGTGCAGAGTTCACTTTCCGTGAGGAGAGCAGCAAGCTTAGTCCTGGTGCCGAGACCTGCCCTTAACCCCGCTGATGGAGTTGAGGACAATTGGGGAAGCCACCTGGAGCTCTGAGCATGCAGACTCCCTCTTGACCTGATGATGGGGGCGAAGGAGGCATGGGGAGGCGTGGTCTCAGCCCCAGAGGTGGGTCCATCTTGAAGGAGATGGGTAGACTAGCTGAGTGTCTGGTGCTTCCTTGATCAGTTGATAAAAGTTGTAGGCATTTGGGGAAACCTGGCACCCTCTTGATTTCTGATGGAGGGGCCGTCAGACTCCTGGGACTGATGCTCTAACTTATTCTCTTCGGTTTTTCCATCTCTTTTGCTGTATTTCCTAAAAGATTTCAACTTTATCTTCTAATACTTCCATTGAGTTTTTATTTCTGCAGCGATTTCAAGGATGTAAATATTTTCGCTTGTCTTTGAGGATATTGATAGACTGGTTGGTCTGTTTCTAATATTTTCTTCTGTCTGCATAGCTTGTTCCCTTCAAGATGCTCTTTCATATATATTCGTTTGGTCTTCACTTTAGGAGTAGGGTACCAAAAAGCTGATGGGAAGCTCTGAGCATGTGGTTAGGGTTTGTCTAAGGAAAGTTGTTGTGAAGGTTGATGTGGCTGGGTGTTTTGTTGGGAACAAAATATGGGTATCTTGGTCTTTCACCCTTAGCCTAGTTAGAGAGTTCTAGAGCGAGACTTTCCAGTCTCCCACCTGAGGGTGCAGGCCTAGCTGTCTGCATTCTGGGAACTGAAAGTGTAAAGATGATTAGAGGCCTTAGCATTCAGTACGCATTTGTTCACCGTATCTCCGTTTCCCATATATGGCATTCCTCCCCTTAGATGGGCCTAGTTTTTCCCAATCCAGAGCTACTTTTAATTTTCTGTATTTTATAAATTTTAAACAGCTTTATTAGAATATAATGGATATAGAATAAACTGCACATATTTACAGTGTATAAATTTGATAAGATTTGACGTATGTACACACCTGTGAAACCATCACTACAATCAAGATGGTAAACATATCCGTCACTCTTCAGAGTTCCCTTCTGCGGCCCCCTCCCCAGGCAACCACTGATCTGCTGTTGGTCATTACAGTTTGCATTTTCTGGAGTTGAACAGAAATGGAATCACACAGTATGGGCTCTTCTTATGTTTGACATCTTCTGCTCAGGAGACATATTTTGAGATTCAGTCAGGTTGTTGGCATGTATCAATACTTTTCCTTTTTTTTTTGCTGAGTAGTAATTCCATTGTATGGATGTGCCACAATTTGTTTATCCATTCTCCTGTTCGTGGACATTTGTTTTTCTTCCAGTTTTTGTCTATTATGAATAAAACTTCTATGGACATCCTTTATTTTGGGTGAAATAAGGCAGGTTCACTATGTAGCCAAACTCAAAATATGTTTCCAATTATTTTTGTACCTCATTCTAAATAAGAATACTAAACCTATCTCTAAAAGTAAACAGAAAACATCCAACTACCCATGGATTTTTCCATTTTTAATAAAAGTAAAAAATACCCCAAAGATCTACTGTTCCACAAACATACACAAATAATAAAATATGGCTCTTTTTAGTGGGACGACGGGTCCTGGGGCTTGCTCCTTTTGATATTTGTTTATAAGTGTATCTCCAGCACCTAGAACAGTGTGTATTACATAGTTTAAAAAAAAAACAAAAAAAAACCCCATTGCTGTCGAGTTGATTCCAACTCATAATGACTCTATAGCAACCCTGCAGGACAGAGGAGAACTGCCCCATAGGGTTTCCAAGGAGTGGCTGATGGACTGAACTGCCGAACTTTTGGTTAGCAGCCGAGCTCTTAACCACCGCATCACCAAGGCTCTGTATTCCATAGTAGGCACTCAAAACAGTTTTTGAATGAATGAATGATTTGTGTGGCTGATACGATGCGGCTCTGCCTTTTCCAGCCATTTGGCCACAAGGCCCTATGTCCTGCATTTCCGTTTCTGGCTGTCACCCATGAGCCTTTCTTTCCATTTCAGATCAGAAAACTGAAGCTGCAGCTGGAGGAGGAGCGGCAGAAAGGCCCCAGGAGTGACAGCGCCGCGGGCGACCTGGCGGGACTACAGAACGGCACAGACTTGCAGCTTATTGAAATGCAGAGTAGGTACTGGGGGCGGCAGTTCCAGTCTGCACAGGCTGTGTCAGGAGTGGGATCCTTAGCAGGCTCAGAGCCTGTAGACATTTTTCTCAAGAGGAGCCAAGTTACAAAGAAGGGTTAGTCCTCGGCTGGTCCAGGAACACATTCCTAACCAGGACTGTGGTCGAGCAGAGGCTTCTGCTAGCTCGTGTGCTTCAGAGGATGAGGATAAGGGCATTGCTCTTCCTCTGCCGGGCACAGCTGTTTCTGGGAATTGGGTGGAAACATCCCGACAGCGTCCTCTCCCACACCCTCCCTTGCGTGCAGACTTGAATAGTGGCTTTTGTGACAAGTGATTTTAAAATCTTGGTCACTCATGGCTTTCCCCCCTAAATATTCAGAATTAGGTTAAATAGAAAAGACTTCCTGGCTTAAGCCTCAAGAGTTTGAGGTGAGTGTCACTTACCCCGCTGTGTCCGTTAGGACCCTCCTGGCACTCCCTGGTCAGTTTGTTCTAAGCATGTTGGTGTAGAGGGTGGATGAAGAGTGGGGCTTGCCGAGCAGCACGTGACTAGTTAGGAGGCTTTGATGGTGATCCCAGCAGGAGAGCCTAAGCCAGCACAGTGGCCACTAGCTGTCTCAGCCAGAGGACAGGGTCAGTTTAGAAGAGGTTGATCTAGAGCAGTGAATTCAAAAGGAGTCCTGTTGAGGGGATGGGCTGGCATTTATGTGGGTGCTCCCCAGGGCGTGTGCACATCTGTGGCGTGTTGTCTCAGGCGTTAAGGTCCTCTCCTGTGCTGTGGCGGGCACCGCTGCCTGCTGGCTTACACCTCACCCTGAGGGGTAATTCATTATCTTCTGTTCTAGGAGATGCCAATAGACAAATTAGCGAATACAAATTTAAGCTTTCAAAAGCTGAACAGGATATAACCACCTTGGAGCAAAGTGTAAGTACTCTTGTTTGTTACCAAGTGGTTTAAGCGCCCTTGGAACATGTCTGCGTCCTGCGTGTAAGGGGCGGCCCCGCGAGTGCCTGGGCTGCTTCGGGCTGTCTGTGCGGCTGGTTCTCTGGAAAAGCTCTAGGTCAGAATAGAAAAGCCGGCAAAGGACAACTTCAAGGGCACTTCAGCCTTTTGTTTTCTGGAAACTGCAGCTGTAATTCTCTTTGTAGTAGATATTTCAAGATGGTAGTTTTATAACAAAATCCCTTATTGTACATATCAGAAAAGTCTAGAAACATTTCCATTCAGCAAGTCTCCTAGGATGTTACTCTGGTATCGAAACAACATGGTCATCATCGAACCTAAAACGTGGGAAATGGCCCGTAACGACTCTACAGCTGTCGTCTTCTCTGGGGACCTTTCTGGATTTAGAAACAGCAGTTGGGTTCTGAGAGGGCCTATGACTCACCCTAGGGGACTGTGTTAGATTACTTGGAGTTTGTAATGACATCGTGTTTCCATCTTGGGACAAAAGAGTGGTGGCTCCGGGTGCCCACACGGAAGGCCTGTGTTCTCGCGTTTGCAGATCGGCCGGCTCGAGGGACAGGTGCTGCGGTACAGAACTGCCGCTGAGAACGCCGAGAAGGTTGAAGATGAGCTGAAAGCAGAAAAGAGGAAGCTACAAAGAGAGGTACTTGTTTTAACAGGCTTTCTGGAATACAATCCTAAAAAGAAATCCTTTGGAAATAAATCTGTTACGTGAGGAATTTAACATGGGTTTCGTCTTAGGGAAACAACGCTGGAGTCCCTTACTCTCTTGTCTGTTGATTTTTAAACTGCACAGTGACTGCCACTTACTTTTATGATCTGGTCTGTTAGACAGTCAGAAAAAGGAGAGTTATTTTGTTTTCAGATCAGGCCTACTCTGTATATCCTTCCTGTGATTTAAGCAAATAAACAATCCCCAGCATTACTGTTTAACACCTCTAAACCAAACCAAACCCACTGCTGTTGGGTCAGTTCCGACTCACAGTGACCCTGCAGGATGGAGCAGAACTACTCCATAGAGTTTCCAAGGAGCGGCTGGTGGATTCGAACTGCTGACCTTTTGGTGAGCAGCCGAGCTCTTAACCACTGCGTCACCAGGGCTCCTTAACACCTCCAGCAGACTGAACGAAAGTTAGGCCATCCCAGTCAGCTGGGTTTCTGTTTCCCTGAAAGCTGAAAACGTGCCACTCTGACTGAACTCTCCCTGTCTCCAGTTACGAACCGCGCTGGACAGGGTCGAGGAGATGGAGCTGACCAACAGCCACCTGGCCAAGCGGCTAGAGAAGATGAAGGCCAATCGGACGGCCCTTCTGGCCCAGCAGTAGGGAGGCTCCAGACGGCCCGCCTGTCCACTGACACCAACAGACCCTTTCAGTACTGCTGGAGTTCAGCCATCAACATAGCCACCTTTGTATTTTATAATTTATGAGAGAATGAAACAGGTTGAAATCTTCGTGAATGAACACTTTGGATTTTTCATTTGTAGTTTGATTCTAGACTAAGAACTGGTCCGTGCTGTTTTTATTTTTTATTTCTGTAATTTTAGAATCACGTTTACTCACCGTTTCCCCCTAGCTGCCTCAGTGACTGGGCACTCGGAGGCTTCAGGATGCTCCTGCAGGACGGCGACTGAGTGCTCACTGAGATACGTGCTGGAGACGCCAGAAAACACAAGTGCCTTCTCCACGCTGCAGTTCAGACTTCAGTGGTCTCCAGGGGTCCGGAGACACTACCCTTAGTATCAGACAGCATTTCTATTTTAGTGAGGAAACAAGTTCACGGGTGTGGAGTATACGTTTCACTCAGATTTATATGTCTGGAGGAAAAGCCTTTTTTTGTATAATATTTAAATTTATATAAGAAAATGTTAGAAAAGAGATATGGGGAGTGTATATAAGACTTACTGCATGGGGTAGGGAAAGTCCAAGGCCTAATACTCTTATTAAAGTAAGAGGAGGGTCCTTCAACGTTAACTGCGTGTACTTTGTCAGGTGTTTCATCTGCTGCTTATTTGTGGAAATAAATAATGAAACCTCAGAGAAGCCCATGGGGGGGGGGGGCAGGGCAGGCGGCTGGGAAATCTGCCTGGAGATGCTATTAAACACACCCTTCTGCTGACCACACTTGGCTACCGATACGTTCATTTTGTTGTAGGAGCCTTGGAGACAACCCGTGAAACCATGTCCCTCCCTTTCTCCCCCCCTTCTTTTCTCCTCTCCTCAGAGAAAGAGAAGATGGGATATAGAACCTTTTCTTTTTAAGAACTTCAGTTCTGTCTTTAAAGGGATCCAGTTCGGTTTTGCCATCGAGTGCAGCCAAGCTGCAGGATTTCAGACTCTCTTTTGTACTCAGAATCAAGATGGTTTTAGGGAAGTGATCACTGTATCCTTTAAAGTATTTACACAGAAAAAATACTGGGGAAAATCAAATGATCAAGGCCAAGTAAGATAAACCAGACTTGAAACTAAACAATAAAGTTAACTCAAAAGTGAATAAAATCTCTAATTATTCCCTTCTTTCAAATAATTAGGCCTCTCTTTTTAAAATATGGAGACTGTCTTAGTCATCCAGTGCTGCTATAAAAGAAATACTACAAGTGGATGGCTTTAACAAAGAGAAATTTATTTCTTCACAGTAAAGTAGGCTAAAAGTCCAAATTCAGGGCGTCAGCTCCAGGGGAAGGCTTTCTCTCTCTCTCGGCCTTCTCATCAGTGTTCCCCCGGACTAGGAGCTTCTCCACGCAGGGACACCCTCTGCTCCTGGCACTGCTTTCTTGGTGGTATGAGGTCTCCCTGTCTCTCTGCTCACTTCTGTCTTTTATGTCTCAAGAAATTGCCTCAGGACACAATCTAATCTTGTAGATTGAGTCCTGCCTCACCAACACAACTGTCACCCATCCTCCCTCATGAACATCATAGAGGCAGGATTTACAACATATAAGAAAATCACACAATACCAGGAATCATGGCCCAGCCAAACTGATAACACACGTTTTTTGGGGACACAATTCAGTCCATGACAGAGACCAATCTTCTGAATTGAGATGATTTCCTGTAAGTTTTGTTTCTAGAAATAGCAACAGGTGGGTGGGTGGATTGCTGGATGTGAGGGGAATTGTCTTAAAAGCAGATTTATCCTAGAATCCCGTATCTGGATCCAACATACTGTGTGGGGCTGCTCCTGAGGCCCTAGCAGCCCGTCTTCCTGTTCCCCACTCATGGTCACCCAGCCTGCGGCCTCCCAGGCTCATGGACTCTCACTTCTGAGATGCCCTGTTCTACTTCTTGTCAGTTCTGTCAGAACCTGGTCTTACCCTCTTCGGTGGCACAACAAACATGTCTTTCTCCCCCACAGGGACACATTTCCGAAGTGAAATGGTCTCACTTCTTCATATCCTAAGAGTTTTCTTTTCCAACGAATTTTCTTCATTGAATCTTGTAATAGCACAGGCTTGTTCCTCCCCTGTGCTGAATGCCGTATTTCTGTTAATGCAGGCTTCTCATTCAGGTATCTTATTTTGACACTTAAAGTTTGTTTGCATTTTATATCATACTTCAAGGAGATCATCTAGAAACTTCTTTATCTTAAGCTGGTAGTATTGACAGCCATTAACAAAGTGGCAAACTTAAAAATCTCACAGCCAGTTACAGACTGGGTAAGGACTATCTTCTTCCCTCAAAAATAGAAATCTATTTTTTTCATTAAGAATAAGTTAATTACCTTTGGTTACTGGAGTTACTAACAGATTATAAACCCAAGTTTCTTGATAGTCAATGCGCCTGAACCTACAGAATAAATGATTACCACCTGATATTATAAAATTATCATTAGAGAAAGAACTGAATCGGAACATGATCCAGGACAGCTTCATGACCTTTTTAGAATTCTTAAGGTAGTTTTGTACAATACCTCATCAGATGCCCAGGGGGACTTCAAACTCTTCTTGGGATTCTTCAATAAAGTATATGCTAGGTGAAAATCAGACTAGAAAAACTTTCAGGTGTAATGAAATTAAGTCTCTAAGAAACATGTTAAGATACACTCGAGAATTTATTTACAGTCCACTCTTGGTGAAGGTGTGTAACTAGTAAGACAGCAAATGCGAATCTTCAGCCTTAAGTCCTACCAACACTGGGAAACAAGACAACCACACCACACTCCCCAGTCCACACTCCCCCATCCACACTCCATGGTCCACACTGCCCCGTCCACACTCCGTGGTCCACACTCCCCCGTCCCTACTCCATGGTCCACACATGGCCACGTTCAGCACCTCTCAAAGACTTTGTACAGGTCAGGCAGGTTAGCAAGCTGCAGGATGTTTCCATCTTCTGTAAAACGTTTCGGTGGCAGAAGGTGTGAGCGGAAGGCTTTATAGACAATGTGCTCTACGGTCCACTTCCAGGGGTTTGGAGCAGAGCCAGGCTCTTCACTCTGGAAAACACACGTTAGATGTTGTAAGCCTGCAGGTTGGAGTGCCTAAAGCCTCCCTGTTCACAGTCCAGCGTACACCACGGCCCAGTGTACACCACAGCCCAGCGTACACCACAGCCCAGTGTACATGGCTTCCTGGCCAGCGTACACCACAGCCCAGTGTACATGGCTTCCTGGCCAGCGTACACCACAGCCCAGTGTACATGGCTTCCTGGCCGGCATACACCATAGCCGCCCAGCATATGCCACAGCCCAGCGTACACTGCTTTCTGGCTGGCGTACGCCACAGCCCAGCGTACACGGCTTCCTGGCCGGTGTACAGCACAGCCCAGAGTACATGGATTCCTGGCCAGCGTACACAACAGCCCAGTGTACATGGCTTCCTGGCCGGCGTACACCACAGCCGCCCAGCGTACACCACAGCCCAGAGTACACCACAGCCCAGGGTACACCACAGCCCAGGGTACACCACAGCCCAGGGTACACCACAGCCCAGGGTACACCACAGCCCAGCGTACACCACAGCCCAGAGTACACCACAGCCCAGAGTACACCACAGCCCAGCGTACACCACAGCCCAGAGTACACCACA